GGACTCCGGTTTCCTGCCCAAGAGAGCTGATGAGTCGGAGCCGGATGGGCGCTGGCGGCTGGCAGCAGCTTCGGGCGTCCCCAACGATCGACGACGTCGCCGGCTGACTAGGACGCATTCTGACGTGGCGTAGAGGAAAAGAGGAGAGAGAGCACTAGATAGCGACGAACAAATCGCCTGCCTATTTCACCTGGATCGAGGATATGTGAGAGCGGATGTTGTGGGCTCTGATCTGCTGCGTGTTACCGAACTAAGAAAAGAAATAGAATATTATTTTCTTCAGTCTCTCGTTTCCACCTCAGCTAGCTATTTGATGGACCTGTTGAGGACGCCCTTCTGGGCTGCTTCGCGGGCGAGCACACCGAGAGGGATATGATCCGTTTCGTCTTGGGGATGCGGGAGGCGGCGATCGAGTCCGCACGCACACGATACGAGGACCACACACGGCGGCGGTTCCGATTCATTAAACAAGCAGGAGGCAGAATGAAAATGCATGTGAAAAAGGTTGTCAGTTTTTTTTTCTCTCTATACGCACGTGAAATGGTCTGGGAGTGGTTTCGATAATTCGTTTCTTGCCTCTCCCTCTACGGTAGCAATCGCATTTTACGGATTTTCTCAGCAATGGCTTTATTATAAAAAAGATTTTGAGCCAATGTAGAAACATTTCCTGATGAAGCTAGGTGTGCCTACCATAAGGACGACTCAGATTGTCATGATCCACAATAAAAACGTGTGGATACATAATGCTCTGTTACTTGCTAATGTTACTATTCATACCCAATGCATGGTTTTAACTTCTAATCTCATATACTCACTTCGGTCTTGAAGGTTTAGAGCTTCTTTAGGACGCATGAATTTAACAAAAATTGTATAGTAATTTTGCATGAGTCAATTCGTTTTTATTGGAAGAACTCATAAAAGGAGAGGAGGATCTCATGTTCCAACGAGGGACTTCAAATTTGTCCTCAGTTATAAGTTATTTTGAATTGCTCAACTCCATCCATGTATGTCTGTCTTTTAAACTTCATACACACGTGCCTTTTAAACACCATTTTGCGTAAAAATGAATCTTATAACAGAAATCAATGACATACATGCATGCATGCCCTTTTAAACCATGAGTTAATAGAAAATTGAGCAAGTTGATAACCAAACTAGCTAATAAGCGAGGAGTAAGTTAATCTTTAGTCAGACTTTTTATTCGGTCTTAAATTTACTTGAATATCTTTATTTGGTCTTAAAATTACTTGAATATCTTGTATTTCAGAATGGAGGTACATCAAACAAGTGATTAACCTGTTCTTCAGCACCACAGTCTATTCGTGACATGATTGTTATCTACAATTACTACTAGGAGTATGCGTCGGTCAGAGAACGAAGACAAAGTCATATGGACGCATTGAAGCTCCACAAGCAAGCGAGGGTCATGGCTCCACTAATCACCTCTTCATTCCCTCGTCGCAAGCTTTTGCAGGCAGGGGCGGATCCAGCTAGCGTGGGGGCTCAAACCCCTCCTAGGCACTGAAGCTCCATAGACTTAACAGGGGAGAGAGGAGCAGAGGAAAGAAAAAGAAGAGAAGGTCTAGAGAAAGAAGAAGAGATGTGAGCTCCCCTAAAATATATTCTAGAGTTCGCCTATATTTTGTAGGTCGCATGTATATACATGCATGCTTCTTTATGTTGCAAGTTGGCGTTAGAATATATGATTTCATCGTCTCACCCTAGCAGGAAGGGCAGCATCGACACGACATGACGCGCCAGCCATGGGACAATACTTATCGATTGATCGGGAGCAGGATACGGAGTGTGCGACCGGTAGTTTCGACTAACCCGTGAGACGATTACAAGATTGCCCTTATAAAAACACTATGATATAAAATCAAACCAATAATAAAATTCGAAAACAAAGTACCAGCTTCCCACCAAACACTTGAAGAAAATCCATCCAAGTCATCTTTGTGGAAAAAAAACACGCCACGCCTTATATCTTTTAGTACCAATTCACATTTCTCATTTCTATGCAGCGGCAAGCATTTGTTCTCCACAATAAGATTTTTGTGTCCTGAGAAGGGGGGGGTCCTTTTCACAAATTGACATGATGACCCATCCCTCTCTTCTTCCCCACACGCTTCCATCAACTTCTCCGTCCTAAACTTTTGAGATTAGAACAAGATAGGTCTCACCTCACGTGTATTTTATGGAGTAGATGATCCTTCAAAGAAACTGATAATAAGAAATTATAAATATGTAAAGATGGGCCACGCATTGTTCATGGAGACTGGCATTGGGCCCACCTTCGCGACACCAAGGAAAGGAAAATTCACAAAAATATCGTTGTCCCGAGCAAAGATTATCTTAAAGCCTGAGCTGATTGTTCAGCATAGAAGTGTACTAGCAACAGGCAATGGTGGAAAACACCTTTCCCTCCGTCCGACAAGAAAAAAATTTTTAGTTGTAATAAAATTTATTTTTTATCTTATAAAATACGAGATCAATAGTATAATAGTAATCTTAAAAGCACTTTAAATACGATTTACTCAGCTCTTGTACGCTCGGCACATTAGTTTGATCAATTTTTGTTACAACAATTTACATGGTCTGAGGAAAACTAATTCGAAGTGCCAACCTGGTGTACTCCTTCCGTCTCAAAATATTTAAAATTTTGTGTTTGAACAAGAAAATTAATAAAATAGTGAAAAAAATGTAGTGCATAGAAAATAAGAAAAATGCTATAATTATTTTGGGACAGAGGACCGAGGAACTATTGTTTCTTGTCATTTCTCCAAAGTTACCATGCCATCAGAATATAAGGATGGTATAACTCTCTTAATGCTTTGCGTCTTTATGTTTATTGGATTTATTAATTGGACTTGCCTCATATTTTCAATTATCTAATAAATTTTAAGAACCATACCAAATGCTAGGGCAATTAAGGCGTAATCTTGTATGAGAAATTGACTAAACGTTAACCCACCTCAGATGGTGTTTCTTATGCCTATTGTGAAGTTGAGAGAGGAGGAAGGCATGCGGCGCCACCATCAAGCCATGGCGAGACATGGTATGTATGTGTGTGCTTGGGCTAGGCGGCATGTAACTTGACGCCTATATTTTGTCGTTTGAAACTGACATGTCTGCTCTCTATCTTCCTCGGTCTAGAACACTTGTGTGCACAGGCTTTTGGATGTCTATGCCTAAAAACACTGTTCGCAGCGGCGCATACACGCGAGCGTGCGATCAAGTTTTTGGAGAGCACTTCTTCGCTCAATTGCTCAATCGTGTTTGTCTACATCTTGTCACAATACGATGGTGATCGACTATTCCTGGAGGCAAGCTCTCAACCACTGCCGGATGTTCCTAGGACACCCGGTGTGAACATCTACCCGCATTAACTCTTGATTGACGATATCAGAATAGCTGCTCCACTGAGCAAAGCAGCGCTGCTGGTGTCTTTGGCATCGATCCTGCCTCTGGATATATCATTGCAACTTTTGTTGCCTTATTTATTTATTTATTTACATCATTTGTAGGTTATATGCTACTAGCACGTTACTAATATGTAATTTGACAAGATCACCACTGCACACATTCTGTCACATCTATCATACTATTTTTGTAGATTAAAATGTGCCCTAATTTTGCTAAAATTCTTATGGTCTTTATAGCCCATAAGCAATTAGTTGTTATTTGATGTTTCCCTCTTGTAATAGAGCATAAAACAACTCCATCAACACTATTGTGTGGTTTCAAAGGTTTGGTTCTGTATCTAAGCTCCACGTGGACACTGACTTCCCTATCTCTCTTGTTTAATATTGCCAAGACAAAATGTATACTCTCTCCCCATTCCAAATAAAATAATTTACTCAGGTCCCTTCATCCCATATTATAAGTCATTCCAACTTTCTTGAGAGTCAAAACATCTCAAGTTTGACCAACTTTATATAATAAAATAATAACATTTATGATACCAAATAAGTGCCATTATATTCTTTATTCTTTATTAATTATATTTTTATATTATACCTATTTGATGTCATAAATATTTGTAATTAGTACTATAATTTTAGTCAAACTTGATATTCTTTGGCTATCAAGAAAGTTGAAGTGACCTATATTTTGGAACGGAAGGAGTACAAAATTATCTTAAATGAAAACTATTTTAAGTTTTTCAACTTTATAAAAAAAGTGTAAAGTACACTGAATATATTTTATGGTGTATGATCTAACAATATGACTTTTGTGTCATAAATATTGGTGTTCTTTTTCTATAGTATCTATAGATCTCGCTAAATTTGACTTATGATAGTTTTAAAAGTTACTAATTTAATTATAGACGGATGATACTACTTGTTGGGAATGACCTCACTGACTGACGAGCAGGTTGGTGGTGTGTGTGTGTGTGTGTGTGGATGACTTCGCCGAGCTCTCTCTTCGTCAGGCAGGACGAGACAACACTGACCCGGGCAAGCCAGGGCCCAGGTGAGCCGAATCATTGAATTGAACATCATCTATGCAAGGTCTTCGTGATGATTGGAGGACCCTTGAGCAGTACTCCTACTACTTATATGTATTTGGACGCCAAACGGACTGGTCCTCCTCCCGTTAATGTGGAGGGGCGGACCAGTTGCTTCTGTATGACCATTTTAAGCAACGTAGTGCGCCTACGGCCTATTCTCAGCAGCAAGCAAAGGTATCTTGACGTTGCCCAGAACAAAAGCATCGACAGGACTGCGAGCGTGGGGGTATCCTGCGGCCGCCCCCATGTACTAGACCTTTTTCAGTGTGTATTTTACTTGTCCCGGACTGGCCAATAACCCGGAGCCAGGTCGTTAGATTAATTTTTCCCTCTACATCAGGTCTGGCTTCTTAATCAGCCTCAACATTGTGATCATTTGGTGTTTCCTCCTATAATGAAAAAGGCAGAGCACCTGCCATTCTCCTAAAAACAGACCAGTAAAAACTTTGCTGAAGACTTAACGACGCTTCGAGCTAGTTTCAGTATCCTACCAGTCTACCACTTCATCCTTTGGACTAGCACTTAATAACAACTCCAAAAAGATAAAGCATTTCCAGACTAGCAGATAGCAAGAAAATCAGCAAATCAGATTTATTATTTTTCCATGGATGTACCAACAGGATACACTTAGCAGGTGGCTTTAGTTATCACCAACCTTTCCCTATCAACCATAACCAATCGAGCACAACACCAGAAAACAGTCCAATCATGAGGAAAACAACAAGAACATTCCCCAGCGCGTTTTGCTCTGGCCCCTGCACAAAAGTTTGCAATGAAAAATCAATTGGTCTATCTAAAATAGTTAATCATTTTTTTAAAACCTGAGCAACTGATAGCATGAAATATATATAACAGAGGAAAACTTACATTGTATCCTTTGGGTGCCTCTGTAAGGACACATACGGTTAGATACCCGTTGCTCAACCCCAAGAAGGATGTCAAAAAGATCATGTACCCTTGTGCGCCGTGCTTTGCAGTAAGATAGAATGCAGGAATGAGTACAAAGCGAGCGAGGGTTGCTGCCATGATACATTTCCGAGATTTCAGCTTGACAATAATGGGTACATATCTGCCTATGAGATCCCACGCATTAAACATTGTAATCAAAACAAGTGCATACCTGAAAAGTACAGAGCGGAGGGAAAAAATTTCATGTGGAATGCTAGATTGTGCCAAATTGTATAGGAGCTAGTCACCATGCGTCAGTAAAAAGGAAAAACATGAAAGAAATGTACCATGTCCCTAGGCCGTGAGATCCAGTGTCTTCAGATAGGAATCCAGGGAAAATAGATAGAGTCAAGACATATATCAGAAAGATATCAAGCGCATAACCCATGTTTTGCAGAAACAGTTGTTTGGTGCTTAATCGCACGTATTGTTTCGGATCCTCCATAGCCTGCATAAAGTAGCATATGCTATATTTCCATGGATTATCAGTAAAGTTAAAAATATGTAACGATCGGTATGAGACAAACTTGCTCATCATCTTGAGTTGGGACTCCTGCAGCAGCTAGGTCACCAACAACAGTTTTGCTACCTTCAGAAGCTGCCTTCGAGCGATAAAATTTGACAATAGGCAATGTCGGGAAGACAAATGTGTACAGAAGAACACATAATAGCTCATTGAAGCATGATATCGAAAAGAATAGCACTGCATGCGGACGAAGTAGTTCAAAGTATTTAGTTAGACATAGAGCAAAGGAAGAGAGCACTCGCTTATATTTAGCTGTTGTTTGCCCTTGGGGTGTGTGTTTCCCTCCTATACCTGCTTCGGAGGGCTTTAAACCCTCATCTGGAGTGTCTTTGCTTGTACATAAACTCTCTTTCCCTATCTTAATTGAAATGCAGAGCTCCTGTCATTGTGTTCAAAAAAAAGTATTTGGTTAGACAAAATAATGTACTGCACTAGCAGAGGTGAAAAAAAAGAATGTTAACTCATTCGATATTTATTTTTCTGGTTGTGTTTCTTTCAGATGAGAGGACGTGTAGCATTCCTGTTACTGTACTAATTAACAAGATAAATTACACAGAACATTGATAATATGGCTATCTACTATGTTAGTTATTGCAAACACATAAGATAAAGTTTAAGACGAACTTATTGATTCACATGTGTCGAAAAGAATGGGACATACTAGCTCCTTTGCGCAAACCATCTCGTGAGTTCTCAAAAGCCGCTTTTGTAATCAGACGCAAAGCTGATGTAATTGCTCCTGATGCAGCCAAACCTGCCAAGTAGGACTGCAAACCAAAACGTAGATGGGTACATAAGAGCAGCCAACTATAGGCACTGAGATATTTCTATCAGTCTACAATACACCAAAAATCATTGGAAACAGTCACCTGAATAAACTCTGGGCACATCAAGGATAGGTCACCAATCATGCCACCTTGAGCATGAGCATCTGCTATCCCGAATGCTGCACTTGTTACACATATGCCAACAAAGGCTCCAAACCCACCTTGCCCTTTAGTGGCCACATCCAGCTAATATCCAAAACATGACGGTATGAGGTTGATATCACTTGTCCAATAACCACACTATATATAGCACTGTATAAAATAACCATGCTTTATATACCACTTATGCAATATATCAAATGGGAAACATACTAGCTAATACTATCTTTCAGAAAAAAAGAAGAAAAAATAGTAGTACTGGCGGATAGTCACGCTAAAGGAATATAATTTATGAACTGTCTCTATTTGCCTCAGAGATAGGTATTCACTTACAATTATTATTCCAAAAGAACTTAAGAAGTAAATCGTGTATCCTGTCAGATTCCGAAGCCTGGTGTTGATTTTTGCTTCGTGGTATGCTAGGAGAGCTAAAAATCCCAGGGCAAAAGGCTGATATACCAGCGTGAGGACTCTGGTTGGGTGGTTCTTCTGCAATAGTTATTTGGAAATATAGTATCAGTCATCATAGATTTGCAATAACAGGACATTATCATTGGATTTCTCTAGCTTCGTATGCCATTGGTTCAAAATACATAAATAAAGCAATATAAAAGCTGTAAACCGTAAACGACGGTGATAAGGTATAGAACATATATAGTTATCCAGTGCACACTTGAAACTGAGCATAAATAATAAAAATCATATATACTGTAATTGTAAAGGATGAACATACAGGGAAGAGGTAGACATAGTAATCTTCAATTGTAAGCATACTGTTCCATGCGAAGAGGCATCCATTCCCCAATTGAAAGCAGACCAGCAGACCAAAGTACTTCCCCTGTCAAGTCCAAAACCAACACAGTCAGAGGACACAGCAATTCATTGCAGCGCAAAACTAGATCAATACAACGATTGGACTTTGGAGAGACCTTAAGTTGAGGTGCTCCTGCACACTGTGAATCGCTCATACTTTGTTAACCTGAAAATTAGTAAGAAGAGAGGTTGTCATAAATGATACCCCAACTGATATGAAGTGATGAGATAGAACTGAAACAAAAAGCTCTTGATAAGCACGCAACTTTGATCTTTGGTGGTATCACTACTCATATATATGAAACTTTTTTCACATAATGATATATATTAACCTTTTAGAATCTGGACTGCTTATAAAGAACTACAGGACCTTTTGCTTGAGGAAAGTAAAGAACAAGCAAAACGACATCATATCAGGTTTAAATAAAAGGACTGCTGGACTGGTCCTAAAAAATTAGGAGGGTTGGACTTGGATTCTGTACTCCTAAATCAAACAAGAGCCCGGTAACCAAAAAAATTGTGCGCGGAGATCACGGAGCCATACACACAAAACGGCAACCGCGCTGACGCAAAAACACCAGAGAGTTGAAGACGTCACCAGCACTCCGGCAGCGAGGGCTCAGATCGGCGTTGATCAGGCCGCTGGCTTATCCTGTGCTGATGGCTATGCACTGCCAGCTTCTTCCGTCCCCCGTCGGATTCTTCCACAGGTAGAGACTGCGAAGTCGTAGTCGCGCTCGAATTAAAAGGAAACGTCGGGTGTGTGTGAGAGAGAGGCAACAAACCTGAATTGATCTGCGCAAGGAGCAGAAACCGGCGGCGGCACCGTCCGGGCCCAGGGTTCCTCGCGGCCGGCGGCCGCAGGCAGGCAGCGGACGCTGGCTGACGGCTGTTGCCCACTGTTTTGTCGCCCTCCGCGCTGACAAATGGGTCCAGACTGCACTGCCGATGAGCGGCGCCTGATGCCGCCGTACCGCGTACACGCGTCGTGCCGGAGACGGGAGACGGGAGCTTCACTGCACCAGTGTAGATCAAGATTTTTTTTATTTCTAACACTTTTTTTAAACTATTTTCAAATTTGACACTGATTTTTTTTTTTTTCAAATCTAACACTTTTGACCGCACCTATTGCCACGGCGCGGCCAAACAACACTGACGCGCTATGCATGGCGGCGCGGCAGCGGCGATGACGTGGCACTTCCCCGGGCCCGGGCCGCTGATGTGGCAGGCGCTATCGCGCCGTAGATCTTGGCGTGGCACTGCCGCGCCATCGCACACGGCGCGGCGAAACCACGTCTAAGTGATGCACCCTGGCTCCCTCCTTCCCTCTGTCTGTCACTACGTCGAGGCCGGACGCCCGCGTCCCGCGCTTGCACCCTTCGGCAGCGTCGTCCCTCGCTCCCAGGCGGCCTCCCGGAGGCCGCGCCGCTGCCGGCCGCCTCCCCCGCCCTCCCTCCCTCCTAGTTGGCCTCCAGGAGGTCGCACCGCCACCGTTCGCCCCCCCTTGGGCGCCCGCTGCCCGCCCTCCCTGGCTGCCTACCTCCCTTCTTCCCCAAAACTTCTCCTCGGCCTCCATCAAGGTATTCATGCTCTTAGTTGTTGTTTGAACTGTGGATTCAAAGATTACTATTGGTAGGTAGGGTTTAGAGGAATAGTAAGATTGGTAGCTAGGGATTGGTAATAGAGGATTCCTACTTAGGGTTTGGAGAAAAAGATTAGTTAATTTTGTCTATGTGAAGGCTAATTAGTTAGTTACAACTATTAGTTAGAACTATCGGTGCGTAAGTGTAGGTTATATTTTCTTTGTTTTAATGCAAATGGTTCACCTTTACATTGCTTTAGTACTTTTTTGTTTTACATTAATTTGTGATGTTTTGATTGATGTTAAGTTACAACGGTTTTATTAGATGGAAGACGTGTATCGGGAGCAGTTGTGGTAAAAATAGGGTCGTCCTAGAGAATTATTCTCCCGACGCGTCTAGCAAAGATGCCCTCATCTCCCCTGACCTCCCTGTCCCTAACTATGACTGTGTTGTCCGTCCGACGTGTTTCAATCGAGACATTGAGACACAGCTGCGCGTTGCTTCTATATATGCAGTCGTTTTAATGTAAGTGATTGTTTCTGTACCTTTTTTTTTATTTGTGTTACTAGGTTACTAATATTTTGTTGAAATCTTGTTGTGTAGGCCCATGAGAGGTGCCTTTTCTTTCAATGGATCGACGGTCCGGACAAGTTTGACCCAAGATATCTCCTTTTTGACGATTGGTGAAGAGAGAGACATCCATGTGAGCACTTCGAGCGGTGTGTTCCACCTCCCCCTAACCCTGCCAATAACGGCTAAGGAGAAGCATTTAGCCACAGTTAGACGACTCAAGGAACCTCCTCTGTGTGAATACGGAGATCGAGCTGTGATAAACTCTAGAAATACGTTGGAGTTTGTGTGTCCAAACAAGCATGAAGTAAGTGAAAAGTGTATCTATTGAAATGTTGAGCTACATGTGTTCATGTACTAATGTCACATTTTTAGGTGTTTTCAGTGGAGAAGTGTCGTTTCAAGGAGTGGTTGTATGATCCTAAGAATCAATGGCCGGAAGAGCCGCCAAAGGCAAAGAAAAAGAAGAAAGAAAGGCTAATTTTCAAAGCACCTCCTGTCATGTGCGAATGTGGTGTTAAATCTAACTACGGCCTAGTCTCTTCGGAGCTTGGAATAGACCATTATTGCGGCCATATGGTTGACTATGATGAGGTTGGTTATTGTTGTGGAAAACATGAAATCGTATTTTTTTGCTAAGACTTATGATCTATTTTTTTGTTTGAACAGAGCACTAGAAAATGTAGGTGAAAATCTTATGATGGTCAAGCTAAGTTCTTGGATGAACTAAAGGGGAAGCAAGTAATTGTACCAAAGAGGGGATATGGACTTGACTACGTCAACCTCTTTGTTAAACAGCGGAAGGACATGCGTGAGTTTGCTAGACAGCGCGGTATTTGTAACCCGATTGGTGTTAGGCTTGACAAATAGGGGTTGGAGAGATGGAGGGCGTTAGAGAAGGAGAGGGCAAGGAAGGAGGCAAGGGAGGAGAAAAGAGTACAGATGCAGGTCTTGAACGACCATGTTGCATTGTGTACCAAGCGAGTCATTGGAAGCCTTGTTATTTTCGTTGCCTGCTTTTAAATGTAATATAACCGCGTTGCTAACTTGTTGCATTTCATACATGAAGGAATTGGATGCAGCGAGGACTATGCCGCAGAGGTGGCCCATGCAAGATTTGAGGAAAATAAGTTACATGAGCACAGAACGCGAGCTGGTCGCACCGTTCAATCTCCGATTGTGTTGTCCGATGAGGGGGACGAGGATGAGGACGACACTGCTAGGTTGAGCGATCTCATCACTCTAGCTGAGGCGGGCTTGCAGGCGGTGGAGGCTGAGGACGACACTGGTAGACTAAGCGAGCTCATCGCTCTAGCAGAGGCGGCTTGCAGGTGGAGGAGGATGATGACGCGTTTTTCTCTCAGGCCGCAGATGAAGCGGAGGCCGCTTACTACAGGCGACAGGCAGATCAGGGCAATGCAGATGAGCCTAGACACATGAACGAGACGGAGGACACGTTCTTGTCTCCGACCGTAGATGAAGAGGAGGCCACTTACTATAGGCGACAGACGGATCAAGATAATGCAGGTGAGCCTAGCCACAGCAATGAGGTTGTGGTAGAGGATTGGTACTCGGACGATGAGTTACTTACTCAGTATATTTTTGACTGAGGATTTTGGATTGTGCCCTGTGGTAGTTCCATGCTTTAGTAATGAACAATGTTGTTATGTACTAGACCTTTCATTGTGTTGTCTTGTGTTTCATTTCAAGTATTGATGTGTTGTACCCATTTAACGAACAATGTATATATTTACTGAACTACGAAGGCCCATGTGAGACAACATTACAATTGCATGGAATGTCTATAGCTATGTCGAATTGATGCACATACAGGAGTGACAGCAGCACGAAACTTGTTGAATCCCTTATTGCTAAGTATGTAAAGCATGTGGTGGGATCAGTGTGGCCCAGCTTTTGCCGCGCCATCCACCATGACGCGGCAAGCTTGACGCGCCATGGTAAAAGGCGCGGCAAGCTGCCACGCCACCCTTCATGGCGCGGCAGCGCTTGATGAAGTTTCCAGGGCAACCAACCTCCAAGGATTGAGCATCGACGCTGTTTGAAGCAATTTCAAGCAAATAAGATTCGTTCGACCAAGACCACAAGTTCACAAATATAATTTCACAAATTCATAAATAAATCACCAAGAGCTTAAGTTCACAAATTGGTACATAAGACCGAAGTTCTTGACTACATAAGTTCGACATGATAAGCGTCATTCGACATAAGTTCGACATGAACTTAATTAAGTCGACCAAGTGCACAAGTTCATGACTTAATTAAGTCTACAAATTGAAGCAAAAATCTTCAACCACAAGTGCTACAAGTACATTAATTAGAGTAGTACATGAACTCCAAAATAAGGCTAAGTCATCAACGATGGACGTCTTGCTGACATGATCCTTCAACTTCATAATATCTGAAGGCCTTGTTCAAGGTGTACCTATATTATTGTCAAAATCGTAAGTAAGGAGGCAAGACAACAAGTTTTGCAATTGAGGATACTTGAAAAAAATGGACTATGTTTACTTAGATCCTACATCCCAGGAGTGAACGGCTGTCTCGGTCACCTCGGTCTCTTTAGATTTATAGGCAACACATTAGGAGTGTATCCAACGTCCGTGCGGTTGAGTTGGCGGGGCTGTCGGTGGAACTATTGCAGTCACCGGGACCCTGCAAGTATAAGACATGCAAGATTAGTTACAATCTTTAGCATTATTAGTTCATACACGCTAGGTATTCCTAAAATGTAGCTTTGTTAGTACCTGCTCGTCTCTTTGGATACCAAGCGGGACACCACCTAGCTGACACATGCTAATCTCATCTGCATGCCAAGGGTCCCGCTGGTGGTGGTGTACGTGGAAGCCCAAGGCGTAGTCATCGTCCTCGTTGTCCTTGTCATACTCTTCTTCAAGGCCCTTCCTAGCGCTAGGGTGGGATGGTGTACGCACAACGGAAGTCGCACCTGTCATCGGCTCAGAAGAACGGGCCGGTGTCCTCAA